CTTCCTTCAGGAGAACATACAGAACCGCCACAAGAAGAACTTGAATTCATCAGCCACACCTAATCGCAGACAGGCACTGAGAATGATGAAGGTAAGCGTCAAGTTTTAGGGCAAAAGGAATGTAAAGTTGGTTGAATAAGAAGAGGTATCTTCTTGCGAATAGCTTGGCCATCTGCTTCTCTCATGTCTAAGTCCATTACAGAACTTGTAGCTGTTCCATAATATTCAGGAAGCTTCCAATTAAACCAATGCAAGAGATTAGCAAGAGTATACTCAACTGATAAAACCCCAAAGGCTAGTCCTGGACACCCTCTTCTCCCAAAACCAAAGGGTATGAAGTGAAAGTCTTGGCCTCTGAAATCAACCTCATTGTTCTCAAATCTCTCTGGAACAAACTCTTCAGGTCTCTTCCACTGATTTGGATCCCTATGAATTGCAAATGGATTCACAAGGATGTTTGTTTTAGGGGGAATATTATACCCTCCTACTTTGATACTGCTGTTAGTTTTTCTTGGAATAATACCAGGTGGATGCAATCTCAGAGTTTCTTTCACCACACATCTCAAGAAACTCATCTGATTAACATCAGTTTCATCTATTCTTCGTTTACACCCTACAATTCCTCTTACCTCTTCTTGTGCCCTCTTCATTTTTCTGGATTCCTCATCAGCTCTGCCATAGCCCATTCCATTGTAGTTGAAGTAGTGTCAATTCCTGCTGCAAACATATTCTGTAAATCAGAGATTAAAAGAAAATGCCTCAGCTCTATGTATATTTTATGCAAGTGTGTGTGTGAACTGTGAGAGACAGAGAGAGAGAGAGAGAGAGAGAGAGACCACTATGATTGCCTTGATGCTAAGTAGAGAGAGATCAGAGTCAGGCATACCATCTTGTCGAAGTTGAAGCAGAATATCAAGAAGGTCCTTGTCATTCTCATTAGTATTATTCCTTTTCTTGCTCTTATGTTGTTCAATCTCATGGTTGATGAAAGCTTCTAATTCTTTAGAAGTGGCCTTCATTCTTGGAATAAGTCCTGTGACGTAATCCATCCACCATAGTGAAGGGAAAAAATTCCCAAAACTGAACTCTCCAAACTCATGCATCATCTTCATGGTTATCTCTCTAAACCTACTACTTTCACCATCTAGAGTTTCATACTTGTGCCCAAAAATACATCTATACAGTACATTGTTCAAAGTTACAATCAGCATCTGAAGCAGATGTACTGACACAGGAGACCCATAATCATCATTCTCCTTCTTGCATGCTTTGCGAATCTTAGCAACCAAGTTTGCAACTTCGTCTTCACTTATGTAATGAAAGGATTTCACTCTCTTCAAGCCTAAGAATTCTGTGATAGAGATTTTTCTTCTCTGTTTCCATCCTTCGCCAAAGGGTGCAAAAATGACATCGTTGCATCCATAGAAATGGATTTTTGCAGCAGTGATTGAAGGACGAGAAGAGAAAAGAATGTCATTTGTTTTGGCCATTCCTCTGGCAAGATCAGCAGAAGAAACAACCAGAGTTGGGACTTGACCTAAATGCAGCAACATGAGAGAGCCATGCTTCTGTGAGAGAGATATGAAAGATTGGTGAGAGGGCGAGCCTATCTGATGAAGATTACCAATGATGGGTAATCTAGGAGGAGATGGAGGCAAATTGGATTTGATTCTTGTTGTTCTTGTGATGAGCTTAAATGCAATGATGACGAAGATGATGAGGCACCAAAAGAAAGAGAGGTAAAGGTTTTGATTTTGCTCTGCAACTATTGCTCCTTCCATGGATGAGGCTGCTGTAAACAGATCTTTAAGCTTACTTTTTACTTGGTTGCTTCCGAAATGCTTACTTATAGGTGCTGACTTGTAGACTCATGGAACTCTAAGGACATGAACCATAGTAAATGAGGATCAGTTATCTCTTTAAATGAACTTTTAAATGTCTAAATTACTTGAATTCATAATAAATATATACAATGAACTTGAACATTTGCACTCCCACCAGTCCTATTAGTCGCTTTCTACAAAAATGTGATCTCAAATATAAGTCACTTTGTAAGAGCTTGTATAGTATTAATTGTTCTTTTTCAAATAAACTGTCTCTCAATTTCTTATGAGAAGATAGAGCATTTTTTTTTAATTTATGACATTTATTAGGGTTAAAAATAAAAATTACAACAATTTTACTAAATGTATTACTCTATTTTAATTTATAAAATATTTTTAAATAAAATTTATTAAATACAATTTATAGCTATACTTTTTCAAAACAAAAATATAATTTTTTAAGAATAACCTTTATTTTTCATTTGAAAAAAATATATAAGAAGAATAATATTTAAAATATATTATTAATAAAATTTTATGTTTATTATATTTTCTTATATCTTGGAATGCAAAATCTCGCTCTAAAAGTTTCTTATAAACGAGTAAGATGGAGGTATTATTAATTTTTATTAATTCAATAAATTAGTTATAAGTGACTTATTAGAGACGGAAGCATATGAGATCTGAACTCATTGTATTCCGGGGAAGCCGTGACACAAAGAACACGACTTACAAGTTTCAAAGACCATTTGCGATGCAAAACGTGGCAGAAGGGGTTACATGCATGCTTACAAGTGTCTTCGCCTACGTACTGTCCTCAGGAGTCAGTTAGGATGGTTTTTAAAGGACACGCAAGCATGTTGAACAAGTGCTTTAACTGAGAAGGTTTTTTATTTTTTTTAAATGAAGATGCCAAAGTAAGAATAATTTAGGTATTTCAGTCAAATCCAAAACGGATATTCCATCCTCTCGACCAATGATTAAAAGTTACACGTTTGGTTTTGACCAAAATATGACTTACAAATTGAAAATATAATACTCCATCTCTTATTGTGATTTTTTAAAAAAAGTATCACTAATGAGTAAAATAATAAATTATTTTATATTCATTGTAAAGTAAAACAATCTTATTAAATAGATGTAAATATAAAAAGATAAATAACTATTTTATTAAGGTAAAATTTAATTAAAAATATCTTACATTTTTAAATAAAGAGAGTATACACACACAAGTTAAAAATGTTGAAAAATTACATTTTTGAAAAAACTGTAATTGAAAACGTTTTCAATTTAAGGCTTCTAAGATTTCCACCCTGCTGTAGGTGAACTCTCTCTCTCTATGTATACATTCAAGATTTTAAATTCTCATTATATGTATTATTTAGTTCCAAAATGTCGTTTTTCCCTAACTACAGAGAAAGTGTTAGTAGAATGTCTTCGAAAACATTAATATATACAACTACATATATTTAAACAAAATTATATGTATTGCCTCTACATTTTTATTTATAAGCAACTTTTTAAGAGTTTTTTTAGATAAATGACAATTGAAAACCATATAATAAAGTTAATTAATGTAAAATGAAGACATGTTAATTTACTACCCACACTTTTATATTTACAATTCAGGAAAAATCAATTTACTTACATGATCTTAAATTATAATTCACAATTTTATGTTCCCTATAAGTCATTTTATAAAATATATGTACTGTCTCTAGACTATAATATAGGATATATATCTTTTAAAAATCTTGCTTGATTTGAAATATAAAGTATTGAATAATTTTTGTAACTTTTTTCTAATTCTACCCTATTTTATTTATTACTCCTTTTGAAAAATGATACATTAAAATTTTAATTATCATTATCAAGACACTTATCTATAACGTATTCAATAAGAGTGTGATTGGAAAGATAAAACTTTTTTTAAATGATCAAGGTTTCAACTAATTTTTTTGAGAACCATGAAATAATTATCAATAGCCTATATTGTGATATAGAAAGAGTAACAATTAATAATTTTTTTAATAGTGGCTGCAGTATAAATATTTTTGAGTAGTTTTTAATTTCATCAAAACCGAACAAAACCAACCATCATAAACCAAACTAAGTCAATCCAACTAAAAATGATAAAAACTGATTATTAAAAAGATTTGGTTTGGTTTTTTCTTCTTCTGAAATCTGAACTAAACCTAAACCAAATCTGTTATATTATTTTTTATGGTTAGATTAGAACATTAGTCTATTAGTTTTTTTTTTTACTTTTTCACTTTAATTTTGATTAAAGCCTATTATAAAATACTTTAAAAATTAAAGAAAAAAACTCATTCACGCCTTTCAATAATATAGTTGGTCGTGACATTTTATCATTTTCTTCCTCTCATCCCGAGAGTGAAAACTTTTCACTGAAAGTTAATAGAATCCCTAACCCCTTCATTTTATATATTTGAGTTATGCTGTGATTTTTAATTTTCATAACCACTATGTAGAGTTCATATTTCAATATATTTCCTTCCTTTTTATATGTTAAACTTAACCAGGATGTTATATTGGTTTTATTCCGAGAATTATATTCTCTTTCATATCATTATACTCTCATGTTTATTAATAATGAAAGATAAAATATCAATATTAATAATGAAAGATAATGTTGTGGATGTGACTTGAAATTAGAATAGAAAGAAGAAAAGAGAGAAACATTATCTTTAGACATAATATATAATTTGATATATTAAAGAATAATTTAAACTTGATCTATAAATGACCGAGGCCACCTAAAAACTGAACCAAATCAACTTCAATTGAAAAAAAAAAAAAAAAAGATCAAGTATATTTTTGTGCAAATCGATTTGTTTGATTTGGTTCATGTTTTATTCAAAATTGAATTAAACCTTTGAACACCCTTACTAGTGTAGAGAGGGAATGAGAAAGAAAAATGATCACAAATCTACATTTAATTAAGAATATTTATGGAAATTAAAAATGAAGTAATTTTAAAAAAATCAATTAATTCTAACTATTTTTTCTAGTTTTCTTAACTTAGTTAAACGTGAATATGAATGAAAAAGGTGAGACTATAATTTATTGGAAAAAATACACCAGAATATATAATTTATTGCAGCATGCAAGAGCCACACTTATTTAGTCAAAGGTGAAAACAACCAAGAGAAAAGATCAAGTTTTAGGGCAATATGGAACTGGTTGAAGCAGAAGAGGAAGCTTCATGGCAGCAAGCATGCCCTTTGTCTCACTAATATCTATGTCCTTTCCAGATTCATCTTTAGTTCCATTATTATTATCAGGCAGCTTCCAATCAAACCAATATAAGAGATTCACAAGTGTATACTCAATTGACGCAACCGAAAATAAGATTCCAGGACACACTCTTCTTCCAAAACCAAAGGGTATTAACTCGAAGTCTTGGCCTTTGAAATCAACCTCACTATTCTCAAATCTCTCTGGTGTGAACTCTTCAGGCCTCTCCCACACATCAGGATCTCTCTGAATCGCCCATGCATTCACAATCACTCTTGTTTTTGGTGGAATATCGTACCCTCCCAGTTTCACACTGCCATCAGTTTTCCTTGCAAGAAGAAGAGGACCAGGTGGGTGAAGTCTCATAGTTTCCTTCACAACACATCTCAAGTAGCTCATCTGATTCACATCATTTTCTTCTATTTTTGGTTTGTTTCCCACAACTCTTCTCACCTCTTCTTGGGCTTTCTTCATCTTCTCTGGATTCTTCATCAGTTCCGCCATAACCCATTCTATAGCAGTTGAAGTAGTTTCCCATCCCCCTGCGACCATATCCTGATCATTTTTTTTAAATCAATATATGTGTTAGCTCACTCATATATGTTACGTTTTGATTAAGTGTGTGTGTGTGAGAGAGAGAGGGGGGGGGTGTGCGTGTACCAGTATCAGTGTCTTGATGCTAGGTAAAGAGAGGCCAACGTTAGGCGTATCATCCTCATGTTGAAGTTGAAGCATGCAATCTACGAAGTCCTTATTCTCAATATTCATTTTCCCGCCCTTATGTTGTTGGATCTCTTTGTCGATGAAAGCTTCCAATTCTCTAAAATTGGCCTTCATTCTGGGGATGAGCCCTGTAACAAAATCCATCCACCACAGTGAAGGAAAGAAATCTCCAAAACTGAACTCTCCGAAGTGATGCATCAAGTCCATGACTAATTCTTCAAGCCTGCTGCTTTTACCATCTAGGGTTTCATACTTGTGACCAAAAACACATCTACAATGTATATTTCCTGAGGTTGCAACAAGCATCTTAATCAAATTCACTGGTATATTCTTCCTGCAAGCTTCAGGAATCTTATTAACCAAGTTTGCAACTTCCTCTTCTCTGATAAGTTGAAAGGACCTCACCTTTTTCGAGCTCAAGAACTCAATAATGGAGAGTTTCCTTTTGTATTTCCAATCTTCACCATAGGGTGAAAAACTCAGGTCCTTACATCCATAGTAAAAGATTCTTGCGACTGTCATTGAGGGACGAGAAGAGAAAACGACGTCGTTGGTTGTGGCCATTTCTCTGACAAGATTTGCAGAAGAAACCACTAAAGTTGGGATTTGACCAAAGTGCAGCAACATAAGAGGACCATACTTCTGTGAGAGAGATCTCAAAGAGATTTGAGTGAGTGTTCCTGTGATCTGATGAAGATTGCCAATAAAAGGTAATTTAGGAGGACATGGAGGCGGATTTGGCTTATTGCTTCTTGTACTTATGAGCTTCAACACAATGATGATGAAGATGAGACACCACAACATAGAGAGGTAAAGGTTTTGATTTGACAATTCCATAGTCGTTGATGCTTCCAGGAACTGGTTTTTTTTGTTATCACAGAGAGGCATACCCATGCTTATTTATACTGGTTTAGGAAGGCTTCTATATTTATTACAACTCTTAATTAGTAGCATTTATTGCACCAATCAATTAGCTGTATTTAATGCAAGTTTCGATGAACCTATCAATGATCAATATTTAATGCTAAGACCTGGATAATGCATCGATCAACTTTCCAACTTTCAACATCCACCGCTTTCAAAAAGTGTGTTCTAGATAATGGACTCAATGAGATGGACTTAATTATGAATCATGGCCCATACAAAAATAGTGCATGGAGACTTGACACTTTTGGCCAAAAATTAAGTTTAATTTATAACATATAAAATTTGAATTCCTTAATTTTTTTTTAATAAACGGTCAAAATTATATACAATAAAAGGAAAAATTACAAAGATAAAGTGAATAATAATGAAACAAGATTAAACAAGTTTGTAAATAGTTAATGGCCGGGCTTAGTGAGTTACCCTTTTAGGCTCTTGTGCCTGGCCAAATTAATTGAGTCTTGTTAATAAGGATTAGGCTAGAGAAAACTTCTGATTTTAGGGTAATTAAGGGGTATACAGGCTTGAATCCTTAAGAATTGGATGAATTTTTATTGACAACTCTATTTGAAATTGGGATTGAAAATTTTCTACGAACACTTTAAAAGGAGCTAAAAAAGTTGAATATAGGAACGCAAGATCTTTTGAAGGAAGTTAGTATTTGAGTAATTTTTCAGCTAGTTGGTAGTAAAAGAAAAAAGTAATCATCTAGTCCTTACAATTTGATCTAGTTATAACTCAATCTTTAAATTTTAACTCGTTGTAACTCAATCATTATATTTTTAACTTGATTGTAACTCAATTTCTAAACTGTGACTCATTGTAAATCAATTTTTATAGTTTTAATTCAATTGAAACTCAATCCTTGAATTTTGTCTTTTGCAACTTAGTCCCTATATCTTAAAAATAAAATTATAAAGATTAAAAAGATTTTAAACTTTTAATAATTACAATATTCATAATATTTAAAAGGGTTTAGTAATTTAAAATATTAGTCATAAATTTTAACATAATTTTAATCTTCATAATTTTATTTTTAAGATATAAGGACTAATATTTAAATGATTAAAATATAAGGATTAATTTACAAGAGTTACAATTGAGTCAAAACTTCAGAGACTAAGTTACAATGAGTTAAAATTCAGGTACTAAATTATAACAGAGTCAAAATTACAAGGACCAAATGGTTAATTTTTTCATAATAAAATTATGGAAAATTTTCACCAAAGTTATCAATTTTTAGACTTTCTCTGGTACATCAAAATGTTACTTAAGAACTAAATGATTTCCTTGATATTTTGAAATTGACTGAATCATAAAGTAAATAAATTAGTTGTGTGATTCTCCCTATCTTCTTTCGCTCTCCCTAATGCACTATGTATACCATGCAGCAATCGGAGGAAAGAGTCCTGAAGAATAATATTTTAAAAAATCAAGATGCGGTGTATGTCGCAAGGAAAAGTATGTTCTATGTATCTTATGGCAGAAAATATGACAATATATTCTATCAATCCTAGACATCTAACACTAGTCCACTAAATCACACGCATTGTATCACAAGAGACCTCTGCTATCATAAAACAACAAAAATATATACCAAGAGAATGAGACTTTTCATGTAAACTTGTGGTTTGTGGAGCTAAACATTTAGAGTGCACATACAACAAATGTATGCACATATGTGATGAGCAGAATTAATAATTAATAAACAATTAAATGATCCAAATATTCAGGAAATAAAACATAAAATATAATTATTAAAAGAATCAAAGCTTTTTTACATAATACGATGAGTAAAAGAATGAAAGGTCGTAGGGTTCAACCCCTCAATTATCTTTCTTGGCCAAAAAAATCCGACCACCAGCACAGGCGGAACACAAATCTGCACGGACGCGGTAAACTGAAAAAGGAGTGAGTGTCTCGAAGGGTTTGGGTGAGAGAGTGAGGAAAACTGGAGCCGAGATATGTCTCGACTTGCTAATGGGATAAAGGATTTTGGAGCGCTTCTTGAGGCAGCGCTTCCTTATGTAATGCCTATCCAAGCGTTTTTTCCAAAAAGCACTCTGAAATACAGGTTTTTTTTTTAATTTTCTTTTATTAACTTTAGATATTGGAGCGCTTTTTAGAAACAGCTTTGATAAAGTTAAGATTATCAGAGCACTTTCATGAGGACACATAAAAGAAAAATTGAACTAAGCGCCTCCAAAGGTCTTTATTTTTTATTTTTTAAAATCTGCCTGCAGGAGTGCTTTTTGTAAAAAGTGCTCTAAAATCTGTACATATTAGATCACTTATTTTTATAAGCGCTTCCTTGTGTTCTATCTTGTTTTGGTGAGAATAGTATTTAGCTTTTCTTATGATATTCACTAATTTTAGATTCTAGATTCAAAAGGGTCTAAAGAGAAAAATATTAATTTTTAATATGATTTTTTTGAGAGAGAATGATAGTGAGGTTTTAAAACTATAAATTAATGACAATTAAGTCCTCAATAATTTTTTAAAAAAACTAGTTGAAAATATAAATCCAAATAATTATAAATTCATGAATTTTAATTATAAATAAGTATTTAAATATTAAATATAACTCTTAAATTGAAACAAAATTTTTTATTTATAACAATTTGAATTAATATTTTAAATTTATTTTGTAAAAAATTTTGTTGGGGGTTTATCTATTTATTTAATTCAATTTTATGAGACCCAAACCATCATTCTGGCTTTTTTTTTTTCATCTATTGAAAAACCCTCATCAATGACACGCAAGCACGCATTTCAACTCTGAATTTTTTAAAAAAAAATTGAAGATGTCAAAATAAAAAATAATTTAAGTATTTCAGTCAAATCCAAGTGACATCGCTCCGATCAATGATTAAAACTTACAAGTTTGCTTTTGGCCAAACTTACGAGTGGGAAAACAATAAATACCCCCACACACACAAAGGTTAAAAATGTCGAAAAATTATATATGAAAAACCGTTATTGAAAAAGCTTTCAATTTAAGGCTTCTAGCTAGGATTTCCAACTTCCTGTATGAGAACTAAAGCATTTTTTTCAGTCATCTTATATATATATATATATATATATTCAAGATTTTAAATTCTCATTATCTGCATTATTTAGTTCCAAAATGTAATTTTCCCTAATTACAAAGCAAGAGTTAGTAGAATGTCTTCGAAAAAATAATATATATAACTATATAAATATATACACACTTTCTCCTATCTATATTGTAAGACACTTTCAATTATTTTATTAATTTTAAAAAAATTTAACTTTTTTATATTTTAAAAAATGATATATACTTTTATTTTTATCCTTCACTTTAAATAATTATATAATTACAGTAAATACTTTCATGCTAATCAAGAAAAGATAAAATTAAAAAATAGTAATTTAATTATTACAATATGTTATATATTTTGAATAAAAAATTACTTCTAAAAGATATATTATCTTACAAATAGGACTAAAGGGAGTAAATAATTATATTAATTATAAGCCACTTTTTAAGATGATTTTTTTAAAAAAAATGACTAATGAAATCTCAAATAGTCTTCATTTTACATTAATTTTCTTACATTATTTTCAATTATAACTCACACAAGTTTTTTATGTTCCTTGTAGAAGTCATTCTGTAAAATCTATGTAACAACTAATAGTTATTATAATAGTGCCCTTCGCATAAATTAATATTTTTGAGTTGTTATAGTGGGAAGAGGAGTTGTGACAGAGGATGATCATGAATTTAATTTATATTTAATTAAGAATATTTGTGGAAATTAAAATGAAGTAATTTAAAAAAAATAATTCTAACTTTTTTTTTTTACTTTCCATCAATTAGTTAAGCGTAAAATATAAATGAAAAGGAAGAGAGCATAATTAATCGCAAAAATACGCCAGAATATATAATTTGTTGCAGCATGCAAGAGCCACATTTATTTAGTCAAAGGTGAAAACGATCAGGAGACGAGATCAAGTTTTAGGGCAATTAAAAGGGGTATATGGAACTGGTTGAAGCTGAAGAGGAAGCTTCATGGCAGCAAGCATGCCCTTTGTTTCACTGACGTCTATGTCCTTTCCAGATGAATCTGTTGTTCCATTATCAGGAACCTTCCAATCAAACCAATGTAAGAGATTTGCAACTGTATTCTCAATTGATGTAACTGCAAATAGGATTCCAGGACACGCTCTTCTTCCAAAACCGAAGGGAATTAGCTCAAAGTCTTAGCCCTTGAAATCAACCTTACTTTTCTCAAACCTCTCTGGTATGAACACTTCAGGCCTCTCCCAAACATCAGGATCTCTCTGAATCGCCCATGCATTCACAATAACTTTTGTTTTAGGTGGAATATCATACCCTCCTAGTTTCACACTGATGCTATTAGTTTGCCTTGCCAGAAGAAGAGGACCAGGTGGATGCAGTCTCATAGTTTCCTTCACAACACATTTCCAGTAGCTCATCTGATTCACATCATTTTCTTCTATTTCTGGTTTGTTGTTTCCCACAAGTCTTCTCACCTCTTCCTTGACTTTCTTCATCTTCTCTGGATTCCTCATCAGTTCTGCCATAACCCATTCTATAACAGTTGAAGTAGTTTCCCATCCCCCTGCAATCATATCCTGATGATTTTTTAAATGAATTATGTGTTAGCTCACTCATATACGTTATGTTTTATGATTAAGTGTGTGTGTGTGTGTGTACCAGTATCAGTGTCTTGATGTTAAGTAAAGAGAGGACAACGTTAGGCCTATCATCCTCTTGTTGAAGTTGAAGCATGCAATCTACAAAGTCCTTATTCTCAATATTCATTTCCTCGTTGTTATGTTGTTGTTTCTTACCTGCTTAACCGCTTCGCCCCTTTACTTACCGCTTAACTGTTAACTAAACAGAGTCTTTATCACCTCCTGTTAAGGAGCAATAGACGGAATTAGTGAAAGCAGTACCAATTAGATGAAGGAAGCAAGAGTGAAGTGAAAGACTCTCTTTGTCGATGATAGCTTCCAATTCTTTAAAGTTGGCCTTCATTTTGGGAATAAGTCCTGTTACATAATCTATCCACCACAGTGAAGAAAAGAAATCTCCAAAACTGAATTCTCCGAAATGATGCATCAAGTCCAATGTTAACTCTTCAATCCTGCTGCTTTTACCATCTAGGGTGTCATACGTGTGCCCAAAAACACATCTACAAAGTACGTTGCCTGAGGTTGCAACAAGCATCTTAATCAGATTCACTGGTACATTCTTCATGCAGGCTTCACGAATCTTGTCAACCAAGTTTGCAACTTCCTCTTCTCTGATGAGTTGAAAGGATCTCGCCTTTTTTGAGTTCAAGAATTCAACAACGGAGATATTCCTTTTGTATTTCCAATCTTCACCAGAGGGTGAAAAACTAGCGTTCTTGCCTCCATAGTAAAAGATTTTTCCAACTGTCATTGAGAAACGAGAAGAGAAAATGACGTCGTTGGTCGTGGTCATTTCTCTGACAAGATTTGCAGAAGAAACCACCACAGTGGGGATTTGACCAAAGTGCAGACCATACTTTTGTGAGATAGATCTCAAAGAGATTTGAGGGAGTGTTCCTATGACCTGATAAAGATTGCCAATGATGGGTAATTCAGGAGGAGATGGAGGCAGATTAAGCGTATTGCTTCTTGTGCTTATGAGCTTAAACAAAATGATGGTGAAGATGAGGCACCACAATATAGAGAGGCAAATGTTTTGATTCAGTAATTCCAAAGCCATTGATGCTTTCATGAACTGTGTTTTGTTTGATATCAAATGGAAGCACCCACCCTTATTTATATAGGTTTAGGAAGGATTCTATTCTCATTATAACTCTTAATTTGTGTAGCATTTTATGCAAGATCCGATGCAGTTTTCAATGACCAATATTTAATGCAAGATTTGATGCACCTATCAACTTTCCAACTCTTAGCTAACATCTACCACGTTCAGAAAGGTTCTAGACAATGGACTCAAGAAAATGGACCTAAATATGAATCATGGTCCATGCAAAATAGTGGATGGACGTGATACTTCAATTTTGGGCAAAAAATCAAGTTTAACTTATGTCATAACAAGTTTGAATTCTTAAAGTTTTTCATAATTGGTCAAAATTATATACAATAAGAAGAAAAAATCGCAAAGACAAAGTCACCAACCAAAAAGAGTTAAACAAGTTTATAATTGGTCATCGAAAATTCTCTATGTATACTAAATCAGATCTGAAAAAGTTGAATATATAGGAAAACAAGATCTTACCGAAAAAAGTCAATATTTGAATAAATTTTCAATGGGTTGATAGTAAAATTATCCTAAAACTTTGATTCCTCTTTATATTTGTGAGTATACAATAAAATGAAAAGAACAATCATTCAAGAAATAGAATGAAGTGGAATGAGATGGAGTGAAACAAAATGAAACCTTTCATTTTTTGTAAGTCTTACCAAAGGAATAAATGATTTTATTTAATAATTATTATAAAATTAATTAATTTAAATTAGATATAGCTATGTTTTTTAATATTAGGGTGAGAGATGGTGAAAGTGAGAGGGTGAGAAGAATGAATGTAATTTTACAATAATGTCATTTATATAACACCATTCTATCCTTGACCCTCCAAATAGGGGGCAAGAGAAAACAGATTTAGGAGAGTATGGAAAGTAATTCCAAGCCATTTTACTCCCTTTTTTTTCAAAAAAAAAAAAAATCTTCTCAAAACTTTTAGCTATCCCAAACCCAAAAACACTACCTAAGCCACGAGTATATGTGTCATGCTCTTTCGCTATAACTACTACTGTTTTATTTTATCATATTAATTCCAAGAATTAAACACACAAACAATTAAGAAGTCTTTAATTCTCTTCATATTCTTGAATGTAAGGTCTAAATATTACCTCAATAATATTAAAAATGATTAAAAGCAACTAGCCTTCTTACGTGTACCATCATTTAAAAGCAATTAGTCTTCTTAGGTGATTGTAGAAATCTTTTTATACGTTGACATAATATAAGATGTCTATTTGTATGGTTTATTCATGACCTTCTATGTTTTTTTTTAAGTGCTTTTCACAATTTTCTACAAGTCCTGATTTAACATTATAATTCTATATGAAAATACTTACTATTATTACTCCTAATTCAACACATTTATAGCAATAGGCATCCCATAGGCTTGTCACCATAAATGTGTTTGATTTCATGATTTCAGACGCATGAAATCAAACACAAGTAAAAATTTAATTAATAATTAATTAATTTGATTTCATTTAATGTGTCACACAAATATTTATGGTGATAGTTTGTTTTTAGGACCGTAACCATAAATGTTTGCTTAATTTATTTACATATTTGCTATTAAATCTAATATTATCATAGTTTTTAATAAACTAAGGTAAAAAATGTGTCATTAAAACTTTGTTTTGTATTAATGATAGCAACGTCAATATTGGAGAGCTTACATGCAAACGGATTCAGTTTTGGTGCTAAGTGCAAAGATGAGCTCATCCACAAAACACACAGTTTTAATAAAAGAAGAAACAATCTTGGCCATTCATTATATTTTAATTTTAACCTTTTAATCTTAGTCATTCATTTTATTTACTATTTTTTCACTTCATGAAACCTCTGGCATTCCCTTCCCAGCTCCTCCCAAACCAGTTTGTTTTGCTGGCTTAGCCATCATGAGTTTTTCCAATCTCATGGGTGATTTCTTTCTTAACCACTTCTCTTTCTCCATTAACAACAGCAAGGCTTGGAGCTCATCTTTTCTGATTGATGGCGTGGTGGTACTCAGACTAGATATGAATTTTTTTTCTTTTTGCTTTGGTTAATATTCTCTAATCTCAAAGAACAAAGAGGTTTTTCAATTTAGACATACAGGCCCTGGCGCCTCATTGAATTTTGACCAAATTAAGGAAATGAATTGTATTTCAGTAAATTAGCCTAGGAAAAAGAAAAAAGAAAAATCTCGCTCCATCGAGATCGCGTTTAGAGTGAGTGTTTTTTAAGCTTGTTGGCAATGACAAATATTCTGCTAATTTAAGATTTCAGAGCAAGGTTTTGGATTTGCAGATATGGTCATATTTCAAACCTTGTCTCATGTGGAGCCCACTTCATCAAGCTTGTCTCCATTCCCGTTTGTTTTTGCTAGACGAGCACAAGCTTTTGGATGAGCAGTAAAGGGAGGAGCAATGCCCGAACCCCTTATGAGTGAGCAGCAAAGGGATAGGAGAAACCTGAACAAGCTGATGTAAATTTATTATTTTTCAAAGGAGCCCTGGATGGCATCATTTTAGTGAGTTAATAATAGCTAAATCTCCTATCCCTTTTTACGGTGATAAGCTACTCCTACTCATCTTTGCGCTTAGCATTGAAACTGTATTTCATGTAAACACGCTTTAAAAAGTTGAGACGAAAATTTTGAAGCGCATATAAAAGCGTGAGTAGAAAGTCTTTTAAAACATTTATACACATCAAATTACAATACGAACTCATGATTAAATTACTCTTCTAACACAAGAAGATACTCAAACACACTAGAATATACAATTTATTGCAGCATGCAACAGCATGACTTATTTATAGAAAAGTGAGAACGATTCAAACAAGAGATCATCAGGTTTTAGGGCATGGGTCATTGGTTGAAGATGAAGAGGAAGCTTCATGAAAGAAAGGATGCCATTGGTCTCACTGATATCTATGTGCTTTGCAAATGTATCTATTCCATCATCAGGCAGCTTCCAGTCAAACTAATACAAGAGATTCACAAGTGTATATTCAATTCATGCAACCGAAAATAAGATTCCAGGGCACACTCTTCTTCCAAAACGAAAAGGTATCAACTCAAAGTCTCAGCCTTTGAAATCCACCTCACCGTTCTCAAATCTCTCTAGTGTGAACTCTTCAGGCATCTCCCAAGCATTAGGATCTCTCTGAATCGCCCATGCATTAACAATCACTCTTGTGTTTGGTGGAATATTATACCCTCCTGGTTTCACATTGCTATTAGTTTGCCTTGCAAGAAGAATAGGACCAGGTGGATGAAGTCTCATAGTTTCCTTCACAACACATCTCAAGTAGCTCATCTGATTCACACCATTTTCTTCTATTTTTGATTTGTTCCCCACAACTCTTCGAATCTTTTCTTGAGCTTTCTTCATTTTCCCAGGATGTCTCATCAGTTCTGCCATAACCCATTCTATAACTGTTGAAGTAGTTTCCATTCCCCCTGCAATCATTCCCTGCGATTTTTTTTTTCAATGCTTGTGTTAGTCCTCTCACATTAAGTACATGGTTTACCATGAAATGTGGGTGTCAGTGTTAGAGCAGGAAACAGGTAGGCCTAAACTTTATGAGCCCAAGTCAAAAGCTTTTTATTTTAAAATTTGTCATTTTTTAAGTGTTACCCTTTGATCAGGTTTAAGGTTGGGCAAAGAAGCCCCTTTTTTAATTTTTTTAAATTTATTTTTTACATTATAATATCACATATTCATTCTCTAAAACACAAAGTATAATATTTTAAAATAAAAAATAAGTAATTTAAATCCTAATTTAAAAGTCTAAATTTAACCTAAAAATTCATTTCAATTTTTAGGGTTAAAACAAATACAGCTTAAACAAGTAACTCAGAGTTCAAGTCTGTTTTTTAAGACTTAAACAGGCCAAGCTTAAAAGATTATATAAAAATATTTCAATTTTCAATGACCAAACCTGAAAAAGAACTTAAATGGATGGCTAAAGCATACCTTTAATTTGGTTCTCTAACTTTATGCAAGTTTTCAATTTAGTTTTTTAATTTTATTAAGTATATTTTTAGTCTTTTAATCCAAATACCTTTAGTCTCAAATGACTTTTTTTTTTTTAGCCAACCATTGTTATTTCAAAAATAAATAAATATAATAAGTCAACATTTGAAAATGTTTTATTAATATTTAAAAGTTCAATGTAAAATTTTTTTGTAATGAAACTAACGATATTAGAATTAAAAGATTATAAATATACTTTATAAAATTAAAAAAAAATAATGTAAAATTAAAAAAGTAAAAGTATCCATTAACCTAAGTGCATGTGTGAAAGAGGTGTGTGTGTGATCTATGTACATGTACACACCAGAGTCATTCTCTTGATGCTAGGGAGAGGCCAACGTCAGGCATATCATCGTCTCGTTGAAGGGGAAGCAAAATATTCGCAGAGTCTTTATTCTCAGCATTTCTTTTCTCATCACTCTTGTGTTGCCCAATTTCTTGGTTGATAAAAGCATCCAATTCTCTGAAAGTGGCCTTGATTCTGGGTAGAAACCCATTAACAACATCCATCCACCACAGTGAGGGGAAAAAAATCCCCAAAGCTGAACTCTCTGAAATGATGCAACATTTCCATGACTAAATCCCCAAACCTGTTATTGCTTTCACCATCTAGGGTTTCAGACTTGTGCCCAAAAACACATCTGCAATGTATATTTCCTGAGGTTTCAACAAGCATCTTAATCAGATTCACTGATACATTCTTCGTGCACGCTTCACGAATCTGTTAACCAAATCTGAAACTTCCTCTTCTCTGATGAATTGAAAAGAACTCACCTTTTTCGAGCTTAGGAATTCAACAACGGGGATTTTTCTTTTGCATCTCCAATCTTCTCCATAGGGTTCAAAACTAATGTCCTTGCATCCATAGAAACAGATGCTGCTACCGTCTTTGAGGAACGAGAAGAGAAAACGATGTCGTTGGTTGTGGCCATTTCT